TTATTGTTGTTATTATTCGTTGTTGTTTTTTTTTTATCTTCTTTAACCTATCAAAAATTTCTGGACTGAGATTTACAGATTAAAGTGATTATCCTTCTCGTTTTGTTATCTGAAGTATAAAAAAAAGGTATAGAAACTACGGAGTATACCATCCTCGGGTTTATATCTCTTTTGTATTTTATTTATTTTCTTTTATTTTTTTTTTTCTCGTTTGCTTTTTTTATATTATTATTATTATTATTAATAATATATTCTGAAAAAGAAAGAACAACGGTGTATATATATATATATATGTATATATATTATCGATATAAATCGTATTTAAATATACATAGAGAATATGTAGACTTTATAAATATTTCTAGGAATCAGATTAGATTTTTTTTTAAATCGGAATCGCGTTTAAAAAGGGACTAAAAGAGAATAGTATAATATGTCGCATTCGTAAGGGTTTATTAAAAATATATTAAAGTTAGAAAAATAATATAAGTGGATAAAACTTTGGGGTAAAAAGGGGAATTAATAATTAGGAGAAAAAGTTAGGATTAAAATAAAAGGATGGGATAGGAAAAATTTTCAAAAGGAAAGGAGAAGGGGAGAGGGAAAAAAGAAAAGAATAGTAAGAAAAACAAATAGGAGTAGACGAAAACCTTCACCGAGTGATCAAAATTGTGTATCAAACTTTAGATCTACGATTTGAAAAAGATTATATTACGCGATTTAATAATGAGAACAACGATTGATTATCGCGTCCGTTTATTATTATATTATATTTCTATGAAATGAATATTAATTAAATAAACAACACACGCGAGAGATATATTTTACTCTTACTTAATATAATAATATATAATATAATATAAGAGAAGAGAAAAATATAATTAAAATGTTTCGAAAAAAATGTAACACAAGAGGAAATAATTATATAAAATATATTAAGTGAAAGATGACGCGTTCTAGGATGTTGGTACGATGGATTGATTGATGGATGATGGGTTAACGAAAGGTAGGAAATATCTGGAACATCAAAAGACCCGGAAATTGTTCTTTTCTGTTATTAATACAACCGGAACTATTAATTCTTTCTCTTCTACCATCGTTAACACATCTGCTGTTGTTGTTGTTGTTGCTATTAAAACAACCATCACAACTATCACTACTATTACTGCAATATTTAACGTTTCTTTTACGACCCTTTCTCATCTTCATCTTCATCTTCATCTTCATCATCATAATCATATCATCGTTGTTATTTCTTTTTCTTCAGTAATATAAAACTCCCATTTCTTATTCGCAAATTATTCAACGACGGCGATCTGTTAAATCTCAATCGTTAATTATAATTATTAATTAATCGTATATTATAACGATTAATTATATATCATAGACTTGCGAATAAAGAAATTGGATTAGGTTAGATGGTAAACCATAAGAATAAGAAAAAAAAAAAAGGAAAAGAAAAAAAGCAGCGTTATTTCTTCTTTCCCAACAAGATGAATATAATCTCAGATCAATGTATCGTCATTATCATCATCGTCATTATCATCGTCATTATCATCGTCATCACGCGTTAGGGTACAATCTTTTTCCTTATTTTTTTGTCGATCTATCGATGAATTTATAAGTTCGATCAATAATCGAGCACTGGTTGTTGTTGTTGTTCGAGTTTTTCTCCCTGAACTATCGAGACCAACCCCCTCCCATTAATGAGTGGGGGGAGGGGTTAAGGGGGGCTCGATTCTAGACGAAATTAGACAGGTATCTAAAGTGTTCCTGAGACGAAACGATATATATATATATGTATTTGTATGTGTTTGTCCTGTGTATAATACATATATTTAAATATGTTTGTATGGGGGCGAGGGCGGGGTCGTGGGTGTACGTGGGTAAATGGGGGAAAGTATATATGTATTTATCAAGAAGACAATATGCGACAAAAAATCGTTGGATGTACAACCACCCACAGCAGGTCTCGACTCTTACGATTCCTTTTCTTTCTTTTTTTTATTTAATTATTTATTTATTAATTTCTCTTTGTTTGTTTGTTTGTTTGTTTGTAGTTAACGCGGTCATTAATCGCGTAATCACAGATATTAAAAGAGTCGCAATGATCTCTTTCTTTTTTTCTTTCTTTCTTTCTTTCTTTCTTCCTAAAACAGCATTTTTATATTATATTTTCTCTCGTATGAATTTTCTCAGTTCGACGTATTTGAAATGATATTGTTTTTTTTCGCACATTATACGGTTTTGTTTTATTTCAAATTAACATTAATTCTCGGAATTAGAACGTAATAAATCCTGTTTATTTGTTCTCCATTTAAAATTGATATCAAGTTTATTACGTTCGCGTATTAACGAATCCCTCAATGCGATTAAACAACAAAAACGACGAGATATTATTATTTAAAAAAGAAAAACAAAGAAAAAAGAATGAAAGAAAACGCTGATCTAATTATATATATTTTTTTAAATATATATATATAATATAAATTCGCGTATCAGTCTTGTTGGAGAATAAAACCGAAACCCGGAAATGCAAAAATCTGGAATTTAATTACGGAGACGAAGAAACGTCAGCCCCCTCTTTATTAAAGAGAGGGGGCTCCACCCACCACCCTCTAAAGCAGGGTGGGTTTCGTTAAAATGCGATTTTTTTGTTCTCTGGGCTCTTTTCTTCTTCTTCTTTCTTTTTTCGTTTTCCTAAGTTCACGGTTTATTCTGTATAAAATTTCCTTTTATTTTTTTTTTTACAAAAATAAAGACTTTGAATTTATCAACGACGGGGGGGAGGGGCGGGAGGAATCGTACCACAAAATACCGAATCCTCTCTCATAAATAAGATTTTTTCTTTTCCTTTTTTTTCTTTCTTTTTTCTTATATTTTCTCTCTATCGCGTTTGTTTGCGAAAAAGAGTTTTCACGAAAAGTACGATCGTTAAGGACGATTATTATTATTATTAATTAAATACGTATGATGTTGATTGGGGTTATTTTTTCGGTCCCCGCTCTTAGAGCGGGCCGATTAAAAAGAAAAAAAAAAAAAACAAAACTGCAGTTATGATTTTTTCTCGTCTTCTATTTTTAGTATCAATTTTATATGTCCCCTGCTATATCATAGAATTATATAATTCAATAGATTAATAATGAAAATGCATTTTTGTTTTTTTTTTCTTTTTAATAATAATCGTTAATATAAATTCTCAACTGTCGTGAGAATAATAAATGAAGCAGCAACAAGAAGAAGCTAAATATAAGAAAAGCTTCGATCGCACTGAAACGCGTTTTTTGTTTTTTTTTCTTCTTTCTTTTTCGAATAATAATTCACCACCTACTTGTATGTGTGCTCTCTCTTAAATGGGGCATTTGTTAAATATGAGACAAGAACAATTCCACAACAAGTAGGTGAACCTGGTAACTACATCTTCCCGGTTATCTTTTGTTGTACGATCTTATACGAAACAATCCAGGATTTTAAGAGTGAGTCAGATAAAGAAAGAAAAAAGAAACGAAAACAAAAACAGCAGTAAGAGGGAGGAAAAGAAAATTTGTTTTTGTTTTGTTCTTTTTGTTTGTTTTTTTTTTCTTTTTACATGAAAATTCCTGCAGATTCTGAAATCTCTCCTTGCAATGGGTTTTTTGTTTTTATGTTATTATATCTTCTTCGTCTCAAATCAAACTTTTTCCCTACATGATCGATTTGAATTTACGGATAGGTTTTTCCTTTTTTCATTTGTCAAACGAAAAGATGATTATTCAATTGAAATGATTAACCTCCAACAAGATCCAACGCAATTGGGAGAAACACACTTTTATTGATTTCATTAAAAAAGAGAGTGTGCAAGAATTGATCGAGAAAACCCCGCGCCGTGTTTCTCGAAATCTTCGACGTAAAGAAAAAAAGGAAAAAGAAAAAAAATGCAGAGAAATGAGTTCCCTTATATCTCCTTCCTTTTTTCTTTTTCTATTGTTTTATATATATCCCCCGTTTCTATTTCAAATAATATATCGAAGATAAAAATAAAAGATAGAAGTTTTCTGGAAGTGGAGTTTCATGTGCCCTTACTACGAGAACACACCATAAGGGTGTTTTTACAAATCAAACACCATCATATGTATATTATTATGTTCTTTCTCTTTCTATCGCGTTACATCGGAAATAACTAAGAAGAAAAAATAAAAACAAACGAATTCACGTGTAAATTCATTAGTTAATTCCGGCCTTTGTTTTACGATACATTGGGATCGTTTAAAATGTTGTTGTTTTTTTTTTCCAGGTAATACTGGACGTTCAGCAATTTTCACCTGACGAGATCACGGTGAAGACGGTCGATAAGAACGTAGTTGTAGAAGCCAAACACGAGGAAAGACAAGACGAGCATGGATTTATCAGCAGACAATTTGTACGAAGATATATCCTGCCGATTGATTACGATGCGATAAATGTAACCTCGACGCTTTCCTCGGACGGTGTTTTAACCATAACGGCACCGAGAAAGGTAAAAAAACCCATACAACACCTTTTTCCTTTTTTTATTCTTTCTTTCTTTATCCCCCTTTTTCTATCTCGTTTCTTTCCCCCTCCCGTAACTATTCCTCGTTCCTATCGTTTAAACGAATCCAACAGAAAAGTTGTTTCATTTGTTTGTTTGTTTGTTTTTTAAATATTTAGTCGGAATTCGCTGTTCAGTATAATAATACAAAAGTGTGGGATCATTGTTTTCCACACTGCTGCGCTGCTATACCTGCACATTCACGAAAAATCGTGAATGAATAAAACAAGAGGGACACCACCACACCCCACCCACCTACCACCTACCACCACCACCTCCTCCTCCTTCTCTGTCCCTCTCGATTTTTATTATTTTTCTCTGTTTGTTGTTTCCTCTTTCTTTTTGTGCTTGCTTTAACTCTTTCTTTCTTACTTTCTTTCTTTCTTAACTTACTTTCTGCATATTTTTGTATTAAATTTGTATTCAATCCGAATACCCCTGCGTTCCAAACCGTGTCCCGTGGGCTTCTCTTTTCTTTCTGCACTTTCTGCTAGGCTATTGTGAGGTTACTCTTACTGATGGGTTGTGTGTGTTTGCCGCCCACGCGGATCTCTAATTTTACGACACAGCTAAACGATAAAAAGAATATACAACTTATTATAAAAAACTTCGAAGATTTGAAACAACTTCGATCAAACGAATGAATTATGTTTATTGGATTAAGAATTTGTGGATTTTTTGGTTAAGGTTGTGCGTTGTGTATTAGTGTTTGTTCACGATCTGTTAATGAAATTTTTTGTTTCGAAATTTCGAGAGACAAACGCTCGTTGCATCTTAGCGCTTCGTTTTAATTTAATTAATCGAAATTTTCATCAATATCTTTTTTTTTCTACTGAGAATTATCACAGGTAAATGTGGGATGTTTCTTTTTTTTAATATCAAATCGATTTTTAATTAACTTAAAGTATAAAACGAAGAGCAACCGATTCGCGAGTGCCTCCTCCTCCTCTTTCCTTCGTCTCTCTAATTAATTTGTGTTGTTTTAATTAATTATTTGTCAATAAATAATTTCTAATCATTGTTTGTGACCGGTAAACACATATTATAAAATGATATTCGTTAATAAGAAATTTTTTGTATTTTGAAGTGACGCTACGTAACTCAAACGTTGAAAGAGCTCAAATAATATTATATAATTACGTTTCCGCATGTTTTTTTTCTTCAATTTCTCATATATTAACATAATTTATAAATCATCCTACTATTCGATTGGTTTCGAAACACTTAGGCTGACGTGTTCGAATCGAACGAATCGACGGATTTCATATTTCGTAATATTGTTCTTCTTTTGTATTCTATTTCAATTGTTTGTTCTCTAATCTCGAAAATTTGCGCATCTCCGAATTAGTTAGTAGCGACACCGGTTTTTAATATATATATATACGTTATGTTTAGAAAAGAAACAAACAAAAATATATATTTATATTTATCTGTAAATTCTCGGTACAATCGACCGCTTACCTATTATTCAGAGGTATTATTCTTCATGAACTTGTATGAAATTTGACAGAATTTCATAGCCTAATCGGACCAGTTTTCGTTGCGTACGGATTGTTCAAGCACCGACCCCGTAGGGTTCACTAAAAAAAGAAACATTTGTGATAACTCATACAAATAAGAAGAACAAGAAATCAGAACTAATGCAATTTTTAATGAAATTCGTTTAATTATTTATTATTCTTTTTCCTTTTTCTTTCTTTTTTTCAGAAGCCCGAACCCACTGGAACCGAAAGAATCATAAATATCGTTAAAACCGGTTTGCCTGCTGAAAAAACCTTGCCGGTTGAAACCAAAATCGAAACTCAAGTTGAAACCGAAAATAAAAACGAAATGGAATAATAAGCGAACGATGATAATCAATTAATAAATTTCATCCATGTATAATTAATTTTGTATATTAAATATATATATATATATATGTATGTGTGTTCAATTATACGATGTAATAAAAATATTTAGTTAAATATCTAATATTTAAAATGATATCAACTCTGTATAAAAATTCATCGAGTCTCATATATGCCAACCCATAGAGAGATCACTATGAAAACGATGACCACAGGATTGGTATGCGTACAACAATAAAAACAAATGTTACGAATAACAACCAACCAATGAATCCTCGTTCTCAACGTGTAAATTAAATTACAGTCACATTTCTATTTCTTAATTATAAAATATTCTTGCACTCTATTAAAAGATCATTCACCCATTCTCACACACAAAAACATTCTCCACAATAGAAAAACACACACACATACACACTTAGAGATACAAATATTCTGTTCCAATGATCAGATTAGATATTTTTTCCATTGAAGATAATAAACTTATAGAATATTTTCGACAAAAATATATACCTAAGAAAATTAAAATTAAAAATAATAATATATAATTAGAATAATATAATAAAATATGAAATAAAAAAATAAAAATTAACTTACGGTTTACTGTCGCGCTCCGCAGCGATGCCCGGCACGTCTACATTTTAACGATTGGTGTTGTCCCGTAGGCCTTGGACGACCACGAACAAAATAAAAAGCGAAAGGGTTGATAGCCGGTGAAGGTTCCGACTCGTCCCTCGATGGGGGGGTGGGGGTTTGGGAAGGTTTCCTGAAGTATTCAGTATCCTAACTGAACGAAGGTCTGTTAACGAATGCGCCCAGCCGGTTGAACCCACTGGGTTTATATAGCTGACGGGTCCCGGGCATCGAACATTCGAGAAATTTCAACCGCTGCACGGCGCTGTGAACTAAACACTTTGTTTGTCCGTGTTATTCCTAACGCGCAATATCGTATTATTCCAAATATCTCCTATATAATTAATCAAATATCCTACAATTTCTTAACCATGGCCTAGAGTATCTCAAAAGACACTAATTTATACTATCAATTTTGTTCATATTATCCTGATTTAATGAAAAACAAGGAAATATGTAGTATTGATCGGTCGAACGCAGACAGGATTTCTGGCACGTTCGCTACTCCGAACCCCACCATAACGTATCTCACACTTTGTACGCTGGAATGTATATATACGTTACTAATACAATATTAAAACCAGTTTATATGTGAACACACACACTGACAAATATTGTGTGACCATGTAGTAGAACCGGTTGAGTGGGAATCCGAGAGAGAAAGAGATATATATATATATATATATTAAACACGATACAAGTATGACCCACTCGGTTCGTGAGATAATATTTTGCGTCTTGCTTTCTGTAACCTTCCTCTCTTTTTCTTTTTCTTTTTGATTTTATTTATTTCTGTCTGTCTCTCTCTCTCTCTCTCTCTCTCTCTCTCTTTTTTGATATCTCTTTCATTTTCACTCACGTTCTTTTCTTTTATTTATTTCTTTCTTTCTTTCGACTGTTCACGTGACCAGGGCCAGAAACCAATGCGTAGTTTCCACGTAGCCTAAAAAAGGGCGAAACCGAAAACTACGCAGTTCCCTTTCTCGAAGGACGTTTTACTACGTTTCTAGAATGATCTTCGATTTATTAATATACCTCTTCATTTCTTTATTTTCTTTCGTCTAAATAATATTTAATCAATAAATACGATACGATTTTTGTTTTATTCAACGTATCTTCCAATAGATAACCTAAAAACGATAAACATATGTTTGATTTTGTCGTAGACATTTTTAAAAAACAATCATTTCAAATTTCTCCCTTTCACTAAACGCGAATGAAAGAAAGGAAGAAATATTATTGTTCGAATTGGATAACATTACATTGTACAAATTGTTTTAATGGGTAATAAATCAAATTCTAGTCTTCTTCTAGAAGTATTTGAGAAAATTCGAGATTTCACGTAAGAATCTTGTTTCCGCGGATAAGAAAAACATTTATACATTTTAAATAACAATACAATATTATAAAATACAATAAATACGATACAGTAATATTGTTTTTCCACATGAAAATGATTGAACAAATGAAAAATAATATCGTGAATTTTAATTTGATTATCAAAGTATTTAAAAAAAATACAATATCTTTCATAATAAATGATTAATCCAACGTAAAATAATACAAACAAATATAAAAAATAGAAATACCGTACGATATGCTATGATAGATAAAAAAGAACGAGTTCTATTTGATATAAGAAAGAAATAATGTTGAGTTCACACAGTGTAACATCATACAACGTAACAAACACACATATACACAGCCATGCACAGCTGCCTTACATCGATATACACACACACACATTCGAAACCGTAAAGAATGACCTGAGAGGATAAACAGGATGAGAAAAGAGAAAGAGGGGAAGGAACTCGATTCCCTTTCCCTTCGAAACGAATGTTAACCGTAACACTGAATTTAAACTGCGTAGCACATCCTAAAATGACCTTCGATAGATGCGTAGAAAAAACTTTGCTGCTGTTACTACACGCGACCTTTTTATCGCACGTTGTTTTTTAACGGAATCCGTAATACAAACGCTATTTTTAGGTATCTCGAATGTGATAGGCGCGTTCAAGGTTGACCATGTTTACTACGTTGTAATAATATTTTTTTCCTTTTTAAAATATCTACACATTCTATTTTTTTTTTGGTTACACTATTTAAAGTATATATATTTTCTATATTTTTTTTATTTATCATGGTCAAAATAATAAATTATCACTGGTTGACCAAGTAATTCTACATTGTGCATTGGTGAAATTGATTTAATAAACATACATAATAATTTAAACGAATAATCTCTGAAAGATTTGTTTAAGTTTATAAATAAATTGATTTGTATAAATAATTCTTTATGCAATTTCACTCGTGTGGGAATAAAGGTAACGAAGTATATATGTATACGATTACGCGCATTATTATTATATTCTTATTGTTATGCATAATAAGATGCAAGGGTTCGAAGCACTCGTTTGTATATGAAAAGATTCAAGAGGTTTGAAAAATAAAAAAAAATTTCTCACGAACGGAAGTGCATAACGTTGGGTTAGGTGAATATTTTTATAACTGAAAGGATGGTTAAATTGTTTATTACAGTATTATTGTTATTTTCACGTTATGTGTCGATCATTCATTTACGATTTCTTTTATGTTTAATCGAATCGTTTAAATTATCGACAAACAAAGAATATGAATCATTAAAGATTAAGATTATATGAACAGAAGAAAAACTACAAAAATATATTTTCGTAGTAGATTGTGATAACGCGTAAAGTACCAGAGACTCGTTTGTAGAACACCGTGAAGTCTTCCTAAATATAGAATGTAGGATAGAGAATTATCGTTGCGTGTGTCTTACATGTTTTAACTGCATGAGTTTCAACGGTTATGCACGAAGAATCAACTTCATAGAACATAATTAAAGATACCGGTTAAATTATTTCAATGATTTAAACAGAATAAATCCCACTTTTTTCAATTTTTCACTTCGGTTATTATTTCATATTAAAAATTATAATCATTGAAGACAAATTGAACGAATTATTTGTTAATGATAAATAAATTCTTAAAAACTATAATAATTAATATTAAATATTTTTAAACGAATTTTTCCGATAAAATATATCGTACGAAAATGATAAATGATAAATTAAATATAGAACGCGAAATATGATTGATGATTAATAACGAAAAAGAGAAATAAATCTCTGTGTGGTAACGTGTCGTAAAAAAACAAAAAAAAAACAAAAAAGTTGATGATCTTCGGGTCGCAGCCGTACGGGCGCTTCTCGATGTTCCAGAACGTTCTACGACTAATCGATAAATACAACGTGAGAAGTTGTCTATATATATATACATAGATACATTTATAGAAAATACGCAGTTATACGTTTCCCCATGGATATCGGAAAACGTATAGAATATTTTTCATTAATATTCCATTCATAAAAATATTCAATTCAAATATAATAATTATCATATTCAAATGAATATTTCTTTTTATTATTATTATTATTATTAGCTTTGTCTATGTGAACAAATTTAAAAACAACAATAATTATGCATCCAACGATAAAGTTCGATTCGAAAGGGTTAAACTTATGATAAAACAAACGTAAAGTACTGACTCTTTTCATTCTTATGACGACCCTCATTTCTATGAATAATGCGTTCAGAAATACTAATCGTTCTTTGAGTTTTCACAACTGTAAACTCCAACTTTTCCTTTCTCTCCCATAACTTTATAGTTTATTCTTCAATGGGTTTATTTGCTACGTAAAGGGTTCGATGAAGTTGACCAAAATGAAATTTAATGAGAAAAAATTGAAAGAATTTCGTGTTGAACGTGTAACAAATAAAAATATCTTGTATACATTTAATAATAATTAATGGCAATTTATATGCATACAAAAAATATATATATTAATTTACATATACTTATCATTAATATTATTATTATTTAAATAAAAATAATCAATAATTTTAAGCTTAGTTTTTGTAACAATGCCATCTAGTAAAAGAAGCCAATACTACGCTGCAATCTACTCTTGAAAATGATTATACCAACATACAATAATTATCTGAGATTGTTTCGTGAATTTAATGTGCATAGGAATGATTATCTTTATCTTTTACTAATCATAGATAATATAGAAAAATAATATTTACATAAAAAATATTTACCTCTATTTCTACACGCGGGATAAAAGAAATTCGAACAAAATTATTTCCATCTTAAACTTTGACGATCGGTGATTCAATATTATATTTGAGTTGTGGTTTATTTAAAAAGAATACTTTATAAACGTATGTTCCTAACAATGCACCAATTGTTGGTCCGAACCAATAAACCTAAAAATAATTCGATTAGATAATATCCAGTGTTTGATTGGCCAATAAACAAATTATATATTGTTTATTTATGGTAAATCATAAATCGAGCTTTTGGGAAAAAGGGTTGGACTAATTTAGACTAATTTATTAACAATATTATTATCTGGGAAAATAGATAAATTAAATTATATGTTTTAGAGAAAAAAAATATCCTAACAAAATAATATATAAACAGTATACAATAAATAATTGAATTATAAATTTACCCATTGATTAGTCCAATCATTGTTCCATAATGCAGGCCCAAAAGATCGTGCAGGATTCATACTGCATCCCGTGTATGGACCCTGAAAACAACCCTTTTGAGCCTTTTGATTTTGATGTAAAAAAAAAAGAAAAAATAACACGTTAAAAGTTTGAAATAAAAAAAACATTACCGCAGCGAGAGAGATAGCAACAACGGAAAAACCAAATCTGATAGCTGTTGAATCAGTGGTATGAGCGCATCTAGAATCCCATGTTGCACATGCACCGAGAAGTATGCAAGCAGTACATAATGCTTCGATAAGAATAGCTTGAGGAATACTAACACTACGATGAATAACAGTCATGCAAACGCCGATGGGATTTAAATTACCATTGTTAAATAAATCAGTTGGTATTACTGCCTGTTTGTAATAATAGTATAATATTCACATTCGTAAAGAAAAAAATATTGAATTTAATTATAATATTTGTTGTATTTATATATAAATTAAAATTAAATGATACCTGTAATATACCGTATCCAAGACTTGCACCGATGAATTGTGCAATTATATACAATGTACCGGTTGGAATACTTTTTAAACCTATGATTACTGCACCAATTGTAACAGCTGGATTTAAATGAGCTCCGCTAACGTGACCTAACATCTACAAAATTGAGATATGATTTATTTGCTTTCAACAACATTTCATTCACTCTCATATATTTAACATTATTTTTTGAAGTATTTATATAATTCATTAATTTTTAAATAAATGTTTAATACTGTAATTTTGTTGTGTGTTTCTCGAACAGTAGGACAATAAATTGCCCTCATTTCTTATCTTTTTTTTTACACTTTAACAATAATTTTATACACATTTAATTTAGCACATTCACTGATTAATTTTAATCACTTTTTTATATATTAAAACTTACCATAATAATAAGGTTCACTGTCATACCGAATGCAATAGATGATTGCAGTGCAGAAGGTAATAAGGAACCGATACATGCCATACAACCAATAAAAATTAATATTGCTGTACCAACTATTTCTGCAATAAACATCGTCCATGTTCCCTCTTGCAATTTCCATAACGCAACTGTAAAAATATTAAAACAACAAATATGTTTAAATAAATCAGACACACTTGAATGACAATCAAACCATTTTATATTATATTTAAGTCTCTAATTATTATTTTTAAATATGTATAAAATATTTCAAATCACCTTTAGATTCTTTTTGATTAAGCATCACTATGATCGATTAAAATACTTTACAGGTGGGAATGTTCTATCGTTCTGTTTGATCATTAATCGTTTCTCGAATTAGTTTAATCATACGATTGTATCAGTTATCATGTACTTGATAAATATTATCATAAAATAAAAATATATATTGCATTATCGAATCGTTATCTTGAAAATCAATGCTCCAATGCATACTTCAATTGTATTTTTTAATCATACAACATACTTTTAATCCACGTTATCAATCCGTGTTAAACAATTTTCATATGAAATCACAAGACAATTTTCTTTTTTCTTTTTGATTAAGCAACAACAAAAAAATCTTTATTTTAACATTATATCGTGTATCTACGTAAACGATAAAACAATTTTTCTTCTCGTAAAAACGTAAATAAAGAAAGGAAACAATTCTCGATATAACTATAGTGATCGCTAGATAGGAAAATATAATAAATAATTTATCATGATGGCGCATGCGTCCATACAATAATAATAATTCATATCGAAGAACTTTGTCGAAGAAATTAAGAATTTTTAAGCAAGTTCAACAATAAAAGGGAGGGAAAAAGAAAAACAAACTTGGATCATTTCATTTCTATTCGAAAGGGTCAAAGTAGAATCGATATAGGATAAAAAGGCTTACAGAAATGACGACGAGAAGAAATAATAAAGAATATGAGATAGAGGTGAAATATTTAAATCGTGTCTGTGGTAAGTTGCTTAGAATATTAGGGGTACTCGATCATTTCGAAGATTCTTCATCATCTTCATCATCTTCTTCAACAATCATCGTTAAACTAAAAAAATTCATATCAAATTTAATTTGTTACGGATTGACCGTATTCTTCCTAACGACAACGATACTTCACGTGATATTGATAGAAAAAAGGATACAAGTTAAATTAAGAAAAATGCCGATACTACTCTACAATGTATTATTATTAACGAAATATAATTGTTTGATAATGAAACAAAAAGATATAATACGTTGCATGAGATATATAGAAGATGATTTGAATAATATTACTAATAAATATCATCGTGAAATTATTATGGAAAGAGTTAAATACGGTAAACGTTTTTTCACCATAATCTGTGTATTTTTACATTCAACCGTACTTTACATGCGTTTAATTTTACCCCTGATCAAAGGAAATATCCAAATTTCGGCAAATGTTACGATAAGACCGTTACCCAGTGCTGGGTATTATTTTCATCTTTTCGATGATCAAGTCAGTCCCTTCTACGAAATGGTTTTTTTCCTACAATGTGCACAAGGTTGCGTTACGATTTATACCAACATTACTATATGCACACTAGCCGTTATCTTCGTCGTACACGCATGCAGCCAACTTGAAATATTTATCAATCTTCTCGAGGATATCGTTGCTAACGTTGATTCCAATGAAAAAACTAACGTCGATAAGAAATTAAGTATTGCTGTTAAACATCATATAAGAGTACGAAAGTACGATACTTTTTCCTTGTAAAATAATATTTTTTTCATTTAATTCAATTTTATTTTTCTTCTCGATTAAATTTCGATAAAATTGTGTGTGTTATTTTGTTTTCTTTTTTTAGTTTTCTTCAAATGATCGAGAATACGATGAATCCATTATATTTTATGGATATTTTTGGTTGCAGCATGACCCAATGTTTTTTGGGTTATTCTTTAACGATGGTATACCGTTTGTTTTTTATTATCTGTAAAAAATTTATTAGACAATTGATTTATTTTAATTAATATTCATTTTCGTATTTGATATATTTTTTTCTTGTAGGATTGGGGTAAACAAGATGTGAATACTGTAATATCGATAATTATTGCAATATTGTCTGTTACTGTTCAAATTTTTGTATTTTGTTTGGTTGGCGAACAGCTTATGCTGCAGGTAGAATTTTATTACTTGTTTTTATCTTTTTCTTATTGTTTTATAATAACACAGAGGTTTAACGACTAATACGATTGATGACAGGACGAAAAAGTAGCTGTAAAATCTTGCATACTCGAGTGGAATAGGATACCTTATAAAAAAGCTAAAAATATTATACCGATCGTTATGTTATCGAATCGTCGAATGAAAATCACTGCCGGAACCATAATCGAACTTTCTTTACAAACTTTCGGACAAGTAAGTACATTAATTAATGTGTGTTTCTAATAATATTCATCAATTTTTTTTCTAATTGTCATACGAATAATTTTAGGTAATTAAAACGACCGTAGCTTATTGTAATATTATGCGAACGATGATTTAATTTATTTTTAATCCATAATCAATTGTGAGTATAGTATTTTTTAGCGTGATTCATTAACTCGCGATTTCGAATACATTGCGGTATAATATTTGTCTCATGTGTTAAATTAATAAAATTAATTATTAAACATATGTTCGATTAAAATTATGTCACCCTTATCACGCACTTTCAAGTTAAGCAAACAAAAAAACAATGAAAAAAGAAAACAAAGTCATCGTTACAACAAATTAGCCACTTATTTGACAATTTTCATAAGAGAGAATAAAATGAAAAATCCACTCCTTACTTATTTTTTTTTTTTTTAAACACGATAATACTTTTTAACAAATAATAATAAAACAAGAACAATGTAGTATCCTACGTTATAGTTTTTTTTCCATCTAAACTTGCACATAAATATTCTTATTTTTAATACCATTTCTCGACTTATACTTTTCAATTTGTATAATGCGTACACATTTTGTCTTTTGTTTTTTCTTTTCTTTCAAAAAGGGTTCGCGATTTGTTTACCATGAGAACTTAAATATTCTTAGAGTAAAGAAAAAAGTTATCGTAATAAATGTAAAGTCGAAGTTTTAAAAGAGGTAAACCTGTACTTATCTAACCCTACAACAACGTTGATAACAGTAAGTTAAAGATTCAAACACGCAAGCGCAATTTACAACTTGCCCAGACGAATGATCATGATCAGTCATACTGTATTAACGTTCAACAACATCTGCAAGATATTCGCAAATAGTGATCTCAAAGAAAAAACATAAGAGTGATAGAGAAGAAGAAGAAGAAATAAAAAAAATAAAAAGATGTTAATAAAAGATAATTACGATGAGAATTTACGTTACGTGATAGAACCTAATCATAATATATTATTATCGTTAGGAATTCGTATAACATATTTGCAATCGGATACTAATGAATCACGTTTGCGTAAAAGTTTAAGATTAATATTGATATTGTTAAATTTCGTTGTAATACTTTACGTCGTGGTACCTGGTATTTTGCACATTTGTTTGATTGAAACTAGCACTTATGCAAAATTTCGCATAATCGTACCTATCATGTATTCAACGATGAGTTTAGCCAAATACGTGGTATTATTTTTCTGCATAAACGAAATTAATTCGTGTTTGAAACACGTCAAGGAGGATTGGAAAAATACGATAGAAAATGGTACTCGCGAAATCATGAGAAAAAAGGCAATAGTTGGTAGAAGAATTTTTATTATCTGCGGTGCACTGATGTACGGAAGTGGCATACTTTTTCGTGGCATTATACCTTTAACTAGAGGAAAAATAATAATTAATGAAAATCTCACGATTAGACCGTTACCTTGTCCCTGTTATTTCATTTTTTTCGATCCCCAAATTAGTCCAGTTTATGAGATAGTTTATTTTCTGCAATGTTTGTCCGGTATCGTAACGTATTCCATCACAACTGCTGTTTGTGGGCTAGCAGCACTTTTCGTTCTTCATATTTGTGGACAACTTGAGATCCTGACCATGTTGATGAAGAGGATGGTGGCAAAAACTGATCTACCGGGTGTTAACATCGATGCGAAGATTGCTACAACCGTTGAACATCAAATCAGAATTCGAAAGTTTGTAGAAAATTCATTTCTAGTATTGTAATGATTTGATTTTTACGAATCCCAGATATATATATATATATAATAAAATACAAAGTGAGATTTATTATTTTTGACACGTAATAATAATCACGAATAATTTGTAGTTTTTTAGGTGTGGTGGAACATATGCTACAACAATTATGCTTGATCGAATTAACAGGATGTACACTGATCTTATGTTTTTTGTCCTATAACATTATGACGGTATAATATTAAAATATTTACTTCCAAAAAAAAAACATCAAAACAATAATTAGATTATTTATGTTTTTAGGAATGGGCTAGTCATAATCTTGTAATAGTTTGCATGTACAGTATTGCATTATCATCTATCATATGCAATATATTTATGTTTTGTTATATCGGCGAACAACTGACCTTTCAGGTATTAATTTAATGATGAAATTATATTCAACAACGATAAGAAGAAAAAGTAAAATACTTACAGATCGAAATGTAATTGACGAAGATAGGCGGAAAATGTAGCGGAAACCTGTCGCACGTTGGATTGGTATAATTTACCCAAAAATAAATCGGCAGGTGTTATTTTAATGACAGCAATATCGAATCGTCCAATGAGGATCACAGCTGGTAACATAGTCGGACTTTCCCTGCAAACTTTTGGTAACGTGAGTAACTCTTTGTCGTTTTCTCAATTTTTTTTTCTTCTTTTTCCTTTTTTTTTCTTTTTTATTTTTTTTTTTTCACGACAATTATACTAACTTCGTCGTTGGATAATCGATTATTCTTACTCACGCAAGGATAATAAAAAGTTTACGTAAAAGTTGATTGGAACGCATTTGCCCCTTTTTCCCCTGCAGGACAATAGAAAAAAAAAGAAGAAAAGAAAAAAAGAAAAAGTAACCAAGGGATAACTTTTTTCTTTCGTTCATTACATACGACAATTTTGTTTTATAAGCGTTTACGATGAAAAAAATATTCGATTGCAGGTTATCAAAACTGCTGCAACATATTGCAACATGTTACGTGCCGTTACATCGTAAATTTTGGGTGCACTCGACCGATCGTAGGAAAGAAGAAGAAGAAAAAAAACCATATTGAATACGATGTTAATTCGATATTAAATTGATATTGTCTAATCGAAATGAATTAATTTCGTTAAATATACGTTTTTAATACCGTTTACGATAAAATCAACGTTAACTTTAAACCGTTCTTATTTGTAGAAGAAGAAGAAGAAGCAAAAGAAAAAGAAAAAAGAAAAGAAAAGAAAAAAAAAAAGAGAAATGTAGAAATAAAGTTTGTCGTATTTTCATCGATTACATAAATCTAAGAGAAAAGAAAAGTTATAGATTACGCAGGAAAGTTTATTTCTTTTTTTTTTTTTTCTAAAAGAGTAATAGTGTAATTTCAATGAGCATAATTTATGAACACTCAGCGAGTTAGATATATCTTCTACGTCAGTAAGGCAACATTTCTAATACAGTTGTTTAGTAAGAAACTAGTTGAAATCGAGAAGAAAAAAAGATCAAATTTATTGTATTTTGATTTTCTATGGCGAAATCGAAAGGGGAAAACGATAATTATGAAAATGATATTGAATTTACGGTACACGTTAGCCGTAGTGTATTGAAATTAATCGGCATTTGGCCCAACCGTGATAAAAAACGTGAAACAATTGCTAAAGAAATGAGTATTAAATTGTTAAGAATAATTTGTCACTCTTTGTTATGTTTTATATTAATACCTGGATTGTTGAATACATTTTTGAAAGAAAAGGATCCACGTCGTAGATTAAAAGCAGTCGGCCCGATGTGCAATTGTTCGATGGCCGTATTAAAATACACCATATTTTTATGTAATGGTAAAAAATTGGAAGATTGCGTGATACGTCTGGAACAAGATTGGAAACACGTTGTTACCTTGAAGGATCGTCGTACAATGTTGGAAAAAGCTAGAATAGGTCGTAGTATTGCAATACTTTGCGTTGCATTTGTTTACATCAGTGGTTTTTCATATCGCATAATTGTTCCGTTGTCCAGAGGAACTATAGTAAACGCCAAAAATATTACCATAAGACCATTGGCGTTCGCTTGTTATTTCGTTTTTTTCGATCCACAAAAAAGTCCAGCTTACGAGATTGTTTTTACATTGCAAACTATTGCCGGATTCGTAACTTATTCCGTAACTAGTGGGGCCTGTAGTTTGGCAGCACTTTATGTATTACACGCATGCGGACAATTAGAAATTTTAATTAGAAGATTGGAAGAATTGGTTGAGGATTCGAAAACGAGTATTGTTTTGTTGGATGAAAAATTAGCTGCTTTGGTGAGACATCATATTACTGTCAGCGGGTAAGAATCCTTACGAATGATCTGTAATTTTTAAATACAATCAAATGAGCCGATAAGAATTATTATTGATAATAATTATTATTTATATAATAATACTCTTAGAGAGTTCGTCAAATTTATTGATCCTATTATTGATTATACTTTCGAATTTTTCTGAACGAATATACCGAGTTAAATCATTTAAAAATATTTTTTGATGCAATCACACCAATTATTACAAACAATAATTCTTATCGAGTTCGTCGTATTTTTTAATACATTTTTTGAATTTAATCTTAATTTATGTACAATATTGTTTAGCTTTTTAAAAAATATCGAGGAAGCTATGCAACACATATGTTTAGTGGAAGTGGTTGGTTGCACATTGATTTTATGTCTTTTGGGATATTATATCATAATGGTAAAGTGATTTTTAAATAATAATATAGCACCTTCTTCTAACAATTGATCTTTTTTCTTTTTTTAACAGGAATGGGAAAACAATGACGCCGTTGCAATGTTAACTTATGCGATATTACTTTTAACTTTTACGTTCAACATTTTTATATATTGTTTCATTGGCGAACTTTTGACCGATCAAGTAAAATAATTTCTAATTCACGCAATACGATCTTTTTTTATTCGTTCTCTATGTATTTATTATTATTTGTTTTTTAATTAGGCTACGAAAGTTGCAACAACGTCCTGCACGTTGGAATGGTTCAATTTGCCAGAAAAAACGTCACGTTGTTTGATTTTGATTATGGCGATGTCGAATAGACCAATCAAAATAACGGCAGGCAAATTTTTAGATCTATCACTGAACAGTTTCGGCTCGGTAAGTCAAAGATTCCCCGTATTCTAATTAAAAAAAAAAATAATTAAACAATAAAACAAGAAAAGTAATGAGAAGTACGATGATTTATGATATTTTTGTTTAGGTTGTTAGAACATCGGTTGCGTATTTGAACATGCTTCGTACTACAAGCATTTAATATCTTTTAAATTCACATTTATTCACAAACAAATATTCATTATGTCACTTTGTTTTTTGTTTTTCATTAATACGAATAAATTCTTTGAAAGATATTAATAGKAAAGGAATAATTTAATTCGTGAAAACTATTAATAATATTAATACGGTGAAAAAATAGTCTGAATAAAAAGGAAAGGGAAAAAATAAAATGAAGAAAGAGAGAGAGAGAGAGAGGGAAACAAACTAACAGTTTTAAACGTCAAACTTAACCCTTACAATAATATCGTACGCAAACGTAGAACCCTACTTCATAAATGCAATTATATTACTCAACCACAAGAATACTCGAACGATTAGATTTTATTTTCTACGTTTGTTTCTAGTCCCTATTTTTTCCTAAGTTAAGTTTCAACTTTTCAATTACCTTCTTTGTTCCGGGGAACGATCATGTCGATCGAATTGAACAAAACTAACTTGAAGAAAAACAGAAAAAGAATAGAAAAACATACTGCATACGATATTAATTCGATATTAAATTAATATTGTCTAATTAAAATTAATTTTAGTTAAACCTACGTTTTTTTTTTAGTATTGTCTACGGTAAAATAAACGTTAGCTTTAAACCTTTTTTTAATTTGTAGAAGAAGAAAAATAAGAAAAAAAAAAAAGAGTTGAACTAAAGTTTTTCGTAATTTTCAACGATTACGTAAGTCTAGGAGAAAAAAAAAGGAAAAGAAAAAGTTATACATTACATAGGAAAGTTTTTCTTTTTTTTCTAAAAGATTAATCGTGTAATTTCAGTCCGCATAATTTATGAACACCAAGCGAGTAAGATTTTTCTAATACGTCAGTAAGGCAACATTTCTAGTACAGTTGTTTAGTAAGAAACTAGTTGAAATCGAGAAGAATAAAAAAAACCCATTGTATTTTAATTTTCAATGGCGGTATTGAAATGGGAAAACGATAATTATGAAAATGACATTGAATTTACGGTACACGTTAGCCGTAGTGTATTGCAATTGATCGGAATTTGGCCTAATCGAAGAGAAAAAGGTGAAAATATTTCTAAAAAAATTAGATTGAAATTGTTAAGAATAATTTGTCAATCTTTAGCATGTTTTGTATTGATACCTGGATTGTTGTATACATTTTTAAAAGAAAAGGATCCACGTCGTAGATTAAAAGCAATTGGTCCGTTGTGCAATTGTTCGATGGCAGTATTAAAATATACCATATTTTTATGTAATGGTAAAAAATTGGAAGATTGTATGATACGTTTGGAACAAGATTGGAAACACGTTGTTACCTTGAATGATCGTCGAACTATGTTGGAAAAAGCTAGAATAGGTCGTAGCATTGCAATACTTTGCGTTGCATTTGTTTACATTAGCGGTTTTTCATATCGATTAATTGTTCCACTGACTAGAGGAACTATAGTGAACGCGAAAAATGTTACCATAAGACCATTGGCCTACGCTTGTTATTTCGTTTTTTTCGATCCACAAAAAAGTCCAGCTTACGAGATTATTTTTACGTTACAAACTATTGCCGGATTTGTAACTTATTCCGTAACTAGTGGGGCCTGTAGTTTGGCAGCACTTTATGTATTACACGCATGCGGACAATTAGAAATTTTAATTAGAAAATTGGAAGAATTGGTTGAGGATTCGAAAATGAGTATTGTTTTGTTGGATGAAAAATTAGCTGCCTTGGTGAAACATCATATTAATGTCAGAGGGTAAGATCTGAAAATTTTAAATACAATCATAAACGAGCCCCCTCGATTAGAATTATTAGAAAAAAATAATTATTATTTATATAATAAAACGTAAAGTTCGTTTCAAATATATTGATTCTTTTATTAACTAAATTTTGGAATTTTTCTGAACGAATCTACGGGGTTAGATCAATTGTACATTAAAATATTCTTTGATGCAGATTGTTATAAATAATAATTCTTATCGAGTTCGTCGTATTTTCTTCTACATTTTTTTGTAATTATTTCTGATGTTTGTACAATATTGTTTAGATTTTTAGAAAATACCGAGGACGCTATGCAACACATATGTTTAGTGGAAGTGGTGGGATGCACATTGATTTTATGTCTTTTGGGATATTATATCATAATAGTAAAGTGATTTTTTTTTCTTCAAATAATTACGTAGCACCTTCTTTTTATTTTTACAATTTTCTTCTTTGATACTTTTTCTACTTTATTTAATAGGAATGGGAAAATAATGATGCCATAGCAATTTTAACTTATGCGATATTACTTTTAACATTTACGTTCAACATTTTTATATATTGTTTCATTGGCGAACTTTTGACCGATCAGGTATAATTATTTCTATTTCACGCAATACGATCTTTTTTTATTCGTTCTCTATGTATTTATTATTATTTGTTTTTAATCAGGCTACGAAAGTTGCAACAACGTCCTGCACGTTGGAATGGTTTCATTTGCCAGAAAAAACGTCACGTTGTTTGATTTTGATTATGGCGATGTCGAATAGACCAATCAAAATAACGGCAGGCAAATTTTTAGATCTATCACTGAACAGTTTCGGCTCGGTAAGTCAAAGATTCCCCGTATTCTAATTAAAAAAAAAAATAATTAAACAATAAAACAAGAAAAGTAATGAGAAGTACGATGATTTATGATATTTTTGTTTAGGTTGTTAGAACATCGGTGGCGTATTTGAACATGCTTCGTACTACAAGCATTTAATATCTTTTAAATTCACATTTATTCACTTATTGTAAAATACATCGAGAGCATTAACTATTATACATTCACAATTCGAACGGGATGTACAAAAAATTCGTTTTGCCACTTTGTTTATTGTTTTTCATTGATACGAATAAATGATTTGATAAAGATATTGACAGTAAAGGAATGATTTAATTCGTGAAAACTATTAATAATATTTATAGGATTTAAAAAAAGTTGGAATAAAAAAGAAAAGAAAAAAAGAAAATGAAGAGAGAGAGAGAGAGACACACTAATAGTTTGAAACGTCAAACTGAACCCTTACAATAATATCGTACGCAAGCGTAGAACCCTACTTCATAAATGCAATGCAATTATATTACCCCACCACAATAATTCTCGAACGATTTAGATTTTATTTTCTACGTTCGTTTCTAGTCCCCATTGTTTTCTAAGTTAAGTTTCAACTTTTCAATTACCTTCTTTGTTCTCGGGAACGATCATCATGTCGATCGAATTGAATAAAACTAACTTGAAGAAAAAAGAAAAAGAAAAAGAAGAAGAAGAAGAAGAAGACATCATTGTTAGAAACGAAAGAAGCCTAAATTATTCTATAAAAATACCATACTGTATTTTACGAGCTATCGGTGTTTGGCCAATTTTAAATAACGCTTCGATGATGGAAAAATTCATTAGTTTAACGATGAAGTGTATTTGTTATTTTTTCTTCGCGTTCATATTGATACCCGGATTGTTGCGCATATTTTTGATCGAGAAAAGTACCAAACAAAAATTGAAAATATTCGGGCCGCTTTGTACGTGTTCTACGAATGCTATGAAATATAGTATATTATTGATGCACAGGGAAAAAATCAATAAATGTTTGAAACATATCAAAGAAGATTGGAATAATATTATTCTTCCGGAAGATCACGAATTCATGATGTCCCAGGCTAGAATTGGAAGAATTCTTGCAACAATGTCGATTTCTTTTATATACGGTGCTGGAATATTTTATCGTACTTTCTTACCACTTTCTAAAGGTTCCATAGTTGTTGGTAATATTACGATAAGACCCCTTGCTTGTCCAAGTTACTTTGTAATATTCGATGAGCAAATAACGCCCGCATACGAACTCGTATTCATCGGTCAATTTCTTGGTGGTTTTACCGTTTATACCGTTGGCAGCGGAGTATGCGGATTGGCTGCCTTTTTGATTATGCACGTTTGCGGTCAATTACGTATATTGATGAGAAAAATGAATGACATCGTTGACGGCCATTATTCCGACGAAATTAATCCTAAAAAACGTATCGACGAAGTAATCCGACATCAAATCAGAGCGAGAAAGTAATTCTTATTTTGTCTGAAATTAGAAATTTTGTTTATTTAATTATAATATTCAATTATCGCCAATTTTGTAATCGTAACTTTATCGTTTTATTCTTTTGTTGGGTAAGATTTTAAAAAGTAATGAACAAAAATATAAGAAATTCATTTAATACAAATTTGTATTGGACATTTTATAATGATATGTTACAATAGAAATTTATATTTTTAATCTAAAATAATTAATATAAACAAATAATGTATAAAAGTAAAGATTGTATTATTTTTTGCCTCTCTTTGAATATGATTAATTACTTTTTATTTATATATAGTTTTGTCAAAGAAGTAGAAGAAATTTTGCAGTATCCTTGTTTAGCCGAAATTATGGGCTGCACTAGTCTCGTCTGTCTGGTTTTATACTATTTAGTTATGGTAAGTTAATTTGTATTAAAAACCTATTGGCAATTTAATTATAATATCTTTCTCTCTCTCTTTCTCTCTTAAAAGTAATCATATAATTTTTGTCTTTATTTAAAGGAATGGGAAAATAGCGATGCAACTGGTCTCATAACTTTTATCTTACTTCTTTTATCTTTCACTTTCAACATGTTTATCTTTTGTTACATCGGAGAACTTCTATCCGAACAGGTAAAATAATATTCTCTTATTTATTTCTGCATTAATATAAAAATAAGCACAAACTTTTTCGAAACAAATCAAATAAAAAAAAATTGAATCAATTAACAGGGTTCTAAAGTAAGCGTGACATCTTGTACCTTAAATTGGACTTGTCTATCGGTAAAAGATACAAAATGTTTGATACCTGTTATATTGATGTCAAACTATCCATTAAAAATCGTAGCTGGAAAATTGATGGACATGTCATTGAGTAATTTTAACAACGTAAGTAATTACAATGATATTTTAAGCATACAAAATATTACGTGTTTGACAAGAGTAAAAACTGAATTTTGTAGATAATTAAAACTGCCGTTGGATATTTCAACATTTTACGAAGTAGCGTCTAATAAAATAAATCAAAAAAATAATAATTAGTAATTTTTACGTATACATTACGATGAATTTCAGTTGATTAGAGTTTTGTATGAATATTAGTTAAAACATGACGATAGTTTGAAAAACAAAATAAAAAGAAATGGAAACAATAATATTGTTTTTCAAATGAAAAAGAGAGAAAAAAAATCAAGAAGAAAAACCTCGAGACGTATCAATAACTTTGAAGTAAAATATTCAATTAGTATAATGGACTTAGAAAAAAAAAAAGAAAAGTAAGTATAAAAAAGTTAACCTTAGATATCGTATCCTGTCCGAACAGTCCGATCGTATTCACATACAAAGTACGACTGTCATGTTTCAACGTATTACAGTTTCCTTTCTTCGATCGTACAGTTTAATAACTTCCACACAACTACGCAAGCATGAAAAGATTATTTTTCTTATTTACTTACAATTCCCTTTTTTTTTTTTTTTAAGAAAAACCCGTCATTCTATAAACATTTACCAAACTAATTATTTATTATTAATCGTACGCAAAACAAATGCCACTCGTGTTACCTGTCATTGTGTTTTTCGTAATAATTGACCGAAAATAAAAAACTAAAAGAAAATTCATATTATACGAAATAAAACGTGTAAATGAAAATTAACGAAGAAAATGTTCAATAAAGAAAATAAAACATCTAAACGATTCAACGTAAACGAATGTATACGAAGAAAATAAAAAGGAACGAAAAGTTCGTTGCAAAACGCGAAAGAAAGAAAAAATTCGTATTATATTTTTAACTTATTATTAAAGATCCCCTCTGTAGTGTCTAATTTAAATTGTTTAAGCACATACAGTGCATTTTTCCGTTCGAAATCATTTCTATCCCTTACATCATTGTTTTTCTACGCAAGCGTATAACCCCCTTTAACTTCTACTAGTACTGGATCCCTTTTCCCGTTTAGTAATCGCCGAGATTTAGAAAAGAAAAGTCCGTAAACTAATAATCGTACGATCATGTCAGGAACGATTCAAATAAAAGAACAAAACATTCCCGAAGTTGTTAATAGCAATAGAAACGAATTGGCATTAAAATATTCCCTTAGAATTAGTCGTGGAATTTTACGAGTAATTGGTGGCTGGCCACTTAACGAAGAAACATCAACCATTGAAATGATTTATAGTTATTTCGCGAACATCTTAAGTTACTTTTTATTTACGTTTATTCTCCTGCCTGGTTTGTTGAGAACATTTTTAATCGAAAAAAACGTAAAAGTTCGATTGAAATTACTTGGACACCTTGTCTCGACTTCTATCAATGCTACGAAATATACTATTTTAATGGCACGTCGTAATAAGCTTAGAAAGTGCATGAAACATGTTAGAGATGATTGGAAAAAGGTTTTATTGGAAGATGATTACGAATCTATGATGTCACATGCCACAGTTGGTAGAACATTGGCAGTAATGTCGGCCTCCTTTATTTACGGTGCTGGAATGTCTTATCGTACAATTTTACCACTTTCAAAAGGGAAATTAATTATTGGAAATGTTACGATAAGACCCCTAGCGTGTCCAAGTTATTTCGCAATATTCAACGAACAAGAATCACCCGTTTACGAGTTGGTATTTTTCCTACAATTTCTCGCCGGTTTTTTTGGTTATTCGGTCACTTGTGGGGTATGTAGTTTGGCAACTTTTTTGATCATGCACGTATGCGGTCAACTTGAGATTCTCATGAGAATGATGAGAGACATCGTTGTTAGAAAAGATGAAGATGGTTTTGATCCAGATAAACGTATTGCTGAGGTAATTCAACACCAAATTCGTGCTAAGAAGTAAGTGTTATCTAACTTAATTTTTATTCTTTTATCATATATACTCATTGTGTGTATGTTTTTATTTATGCAACGATAGAAAATAGAAAGAATTTTTGTATTGAATTGTTTCTTTTTTTTTTTACGTATGTGTAATATTAAAATTAAAATAAATCAAAAGATCTGTGGGACTGTATGTTTAAGTTAAATTTTTTTTGTTCACAGTTTTGTAAAAGATGTTGAAGAAATTCTGCAATATATGTGCATGTTTGAAATATTGGGTTGTACTAGTCTTGTTTGTCTAATTTTGAATTACTTTATCATGGTAATACAATTATAAAGAGATTCTATTTGTAATTATAATATATTAGATGTAATATAAATGATCAATAAATTTGTAGGACTGGGAGAACAGTGATACGACCGGATTGGTTACATATTTTATTTTTCTTCTATCGTTTACCTTTAACATGTTCATTTTTTGTTACATGGGTGAACTTCTTTCGAACCAGGTGCCAAATATTTCGTGTTATCCTTTTTATTTTTATATTAATTATTTATTTAATATACATATTTTGTGTTTCTTTTTCAGGGTACGAAAGTTGCTATAACTTCGTGCACACTTAATTGGTATCGTCTTCCGACGCAAAGTGCACGAAGTTTGGTATTAATAATACTCGCGTCTCATCATCCGATTAAAATCGTGGCCGGTAAAATAATGGACATGTCATTGAGTAATTTTAGCAGTGTAAGTAATTGCAATGATATTTCAAATATACAACATTACGTTTGACAAGAGTAAAAACTGAATTTTGTAGATAATTAAAACTGCCGTTGGATATTTCAACATTCTACATAACAGAATCTAATAAAATTAATCAAAAAATCATTACTAACAATTTTTATATATGCATAACAATGAATACGAGTTGATTCGAGATTTGTTAAATGTTAACTAAAATCTGTCTAGCAACAGTATGAAAAAGAAATAAAAATAAAATAAAATTAAATAAAAAGCAATGGAAACAATAATTGATTTTAAAACGTAAGAGAGAGAGAGAGAGAGAGAGAAAGAAAAAGAAGAAAACCTCGTGCCGTATCACCAACTTTAAAGTAAAAAATTCTATTAGTATAGTGAACTTAGAAAAAAAAAGTAAGTATAAAAAAGTTCACCTTTGATATCGTATCCTGTCTGAACAGTCTGTTCGTATTCACATACAAAGTACGACTGTCATGTTTCAACTTATCTTCTCCTTCCTTCGATCGTACCGTTTAATAACTTTCACTGCGCAAGAGTAAAAATATTATTATGTTTTTCTTATTTACTTACACAATTCTCGTATTTTTTTTTTTTTTTAAGAAAAACCCGTGATTCTATAAACATTTACCAAACTAATTATTTATTATTAATCGTACGCAAATAAAAATGCAACTCGAGTTACCTGTCATTGTATTTTTCGTAATTATTGACCGAAAATAAAAAAACTAAAAGAAAATTCATATTATACGAAATAAAACGTGTAAAAGAAAATTAACGAAGAAAATTTTCAATAAAAAAAATAAAATTGTATACACACATCTAAACGATTCAATGTAAACGAATGTAAACGAAGGTAATAAAAAGAAACGAAAAGTTCGTTGCAAGACGCGAAAGAACAACAAAATTCGTATTATATTTCTATCGTATTATTAAAGATCCCCTCTGTAGTGTCTAATTTAAATTGTTTAAGCCCATAGAGTGCACTTTTCCGATCGAAATCATTTCTATCCCTTACATCATTGTTTTTCTACGCAAGCGTAGAACCCCCTTTAACTTCTACTAGTACTGGATCCCTTTTCCCGTTTAGTAATCGCCGAGATTTAGAAAAGAAAGTCTGTAAGCTAATAATCGTACGATCATGTCAGGAACGATTCAAATAAAAGAACAAAACATTCCGGTAGTCGTTAATAGCAATAGAAATGAATTTGCATTAAAATATTCCTTTAGAATTTGTCGTGGAATTTTACGAGTAATTGGTGGCTGGCCACTTAACGAAGAAACATCAACCATAGAAATGATTTATAGTTATTTCGCTAACGTATTTTGTTACTTTTTATTTACCTTCACATTCGTACCCGCTATGTTGAGAACATTTTTAATCGAAAAAAACCTAAGAGTTCGATTAAAAATATTTGGACCACTTTGCGTTTGTTCTATCAATGCTACGAAATATACTATTTTAATGGTACGTCGTAATAAACTTAGAAAGTGCATGAAACATATTAGAGATGATTGGAAAAAGGTTGTATTGGAAGATGATTACGAATCTATGATGTCACATGCCAAGGTTGGTAGAACATTGGCACTAATGTCGGCTTCGTTTATTTACGGTGCTGGAATGTCTTATCGTACAATTTTACCACTTTCAAAAGGAAAATTAATTATTGGAAATGTTACGATAAGACCCCTAGCATGTCCAAGTTATTTCGTAATATTCAACGAACAAGAATCACCCGTTTACGAGTTGGTATTTTTCGTACAAATTCTCGCCGGTTTTTCGGTTTATTCGGTCGCTTGTGGGGTATGTAGTTTGGCAACTTTTTTGATCATGCACGTATGCGGTCAACTTGAAATTCTCATGAGAATGATGAGAGATATCGTTGATAGAAAAGATGAAGATGGTTTTGATCCAGATAAACGTATCGCTGAGGTAATTCAACACCAAATTCGTGCTAAGAAGTAAGTGTTATCTAATTTCATTTATATTCTTTTATCATACACACTCATTGTGTGCATGATTTTATTTATGCAACGATAGAAAGTAGAAAGAATTTTTCTATTGAATTGTTTCTTTTTTTTACGTATGTGTAATATTATAAATTAGAATAAATCGGAAGATATATAAGTTTTTTTTTTCACAGTTTTGTAAAAGATGTCGAAGAAATTTTGCAATACATGTGCATGGTTGAAATATTGGGTTGTACTAGTCTCGTTTGCCTAATTTTGTATTACTTTATCATGGTAATGCAATTATAAAGAGATTCTATTTTTAATTATAATATATTAGATGTAATATAAATGATTAATAAATTTATAGGACTGGGAAAACAGTGACACGACCGGATTGGTCACATATTTTATTTTTCTTCTATCGTTTACCTTTAACATGTTCATTTTTTGTTACATGGGTGAACTTCTTTCGGAACAGGTGCTAAATATTTCTTGTTATGCTTTTTTTTTTATATCGTTTCTATTTTTATATTAATTAATTATTTAATATACATATTTTATTTTCCTTTTCAGGGTACGAAAGTTGCTATAACTTCGTGCACTCTTAATTGGTATCGTCTTCCGACGCAAAGTGCACGAAGCTTGGTATTAATAATACTCGCGTCTAATCATCCGATTAAAATAGTTGCCGGTAAATTAATGGACATGTCATTGAGTAATTTTAACAGCGTAAGTAATTACAATGATATTTCAAATATACAACATTACGTTTGACAAGAGAAAAAACTGAATTTTGTAGATAATTAAAACTGCTGTTGGATACTTCAACATTCTACGAAATAGAATTTAATAAAATAAATCAAAAAATCATTAATAGCAATTGTTATATATGCATTACGATGAATACGAGTTGATTTGAGATTTGTTAAATATTAACTGTAATCTGTGTGGCGACAGTTTGAAAAAAAAAAATATAAATAAAATAAAAAGCAATGGAAAAAAATAATTGATTTTAAAACATAAGATAGAGAGAGAGAGAGAGGAAGAAAATGAAGAAAACCTCGTGCTGTATCACCAACTTTAAAGTAAAAAATTCTATTAGTATAGTACACTTTGAAAAAAAAAAATGAAGTATAAAAAAGTTTACCTTTGATATCGTATCCTGAACAAGTCTTTCTCTTTGAAGAAAAAAAAAAAGTATATAAAAAAGTTTACCTTTGATATCGTATCCTGAACAGTCTGAACAGTCCGACTGTATTCACATACGAAGTACGACTGTAATGTTTCAACGTATTACATTCTCCTTTTGATTGTACCATTTAATAACTTCCACTGCGCAATAGTAAAAATATTATTATGTTTTTCTTTTTTACTTACAATTTCCTTTAAACAGAAGCCGTCATTCTATAAAAATTTACCAAACTAACTATTTATTATCAAATGTACGCAAAAAAATTGGCGTATGAGTTAACAGTCCTTGTGTTTCTCCTAATTTATTAACTGAAAATAAAAAAATAAATTGAAATCATATCATCCGAAATAATAAAGGTAAGTTGACATTTTCCAAAAAATATGATCAATAACGAAAATAAAATTGAATACACACATGTAAACGATTCTAAGTGAACGAGAGTAAACGAAGGGAATAAAAAAAGAAACGAAAAGTTCGTAGGAAAACGCGAAAGAATATAAAGTCGTATTACCTTTCTACCTTATTATCAAAGATTCCCAAGTTTCAAATCTAAATTGTTCATGCGCATGGAGTGCAATTTTCTAATCGAAATCATTTCTATCCCTTACATCATTGTTTTTCTACGCAAGCGTATAACCCCCGTTTGATTTCTATCGGTATTACAATCCCTTTTCCCGTTCAGTAATATCCGAGATTTAGAAAAGAAAAGTCCGTAAACTAATAATCAAACGATCATGTCAGAAACAGTTCAATTAAACGAACAAAACATTCCCGTAGTCGTTAATAACAATAGAAACGAATTGGCTATAAATTATTCGGTTAAAATTGGTCGCGGAATTTTACGAATAATAGGTGGCTGGCCACATAACGAAAAAACATCAACCATAGAAAAGATTTATAGTTATTTCGCGAAAATCTTATGTTACTTTTTATTTACGTTTATTCTCCTGCCTGGTTTGTTGAGAATATTTTTAATCGAACAAAACGTAAGAATTCGATTGAAAATATTTGGACCACTTTGCACCTGTTCTATCAATGCTACGAAATATAGTATTTTAATGACGCGTGGTAAAAAAATTAAAGAGTGCATGCAACATGTTAGAGATGATTGGAAAAAGGTTGTATTGGAAAAAGATTACGAATCTATGATGTCACATGCAAAAGTTGGTAGAACATTGGCACTAATGTCGGCATCGTTTATTTACGGTGCTGGAATGTCTTATCGTACAATTTTACCACTTACAAAAGGGAAATTAATTATTGGAAATGTTACGATAAGACCCCTAGCATGTCCAAGTTATTTCGTAATATTCAACGAACAAGAATCACCCGCTTACGAGTTGGTATTTTTCCTACAATTTCTCGCCGGTTTTTCTGTTTATTCGGTCGCTTGTGGGGTATGTGGTTTGGCAACTTTTTTGATCATGCACGTATGCGGTCAACTTGAAATTCTCATGAGAATGATGAGAGATATCGTTGATGGGAAAGATGAGAATGATTCTGATGCAGATAAACGTATTGCTGAGGTAATTCGACACCAAATTCGTGCTAAGAAGTAAGTAAAATAAATCGAAATTTTATGGGGCACCGTATGTCTGAGTCTAATTTTATTTTCACAGTTTTGTAAAAGATGTCGAAGAAATTCTGCAATATTTGTGCATGGTTGAAATATTGGGTTGCACTAGTCTCGTTTGTCTTGTTTTGTACTACTTAATTATGGTAATATAATTATAAAGATTCTATATATATCTATTTTTAAATATTATATTTAATGTAATATAAATGATTAACAAATTAATAGGAATGGGAAAACAGTGACACGACCGGATTGGTCACTTATTTCGTTTTTCTTCTATCGTTTGCCTTTAACATGTTCATTTTTTGTTACATCGGTGAACTTCTTTCGGAACAGGTGCCAAATATTTCGTCACCTTATATATATCCTTTTTGTTTTTATATCAATTAAATAATTTAATATACGTATTTTATTTTTTTTGTCCTTTTCAGGGTACAAAAGTTGGCGTAACTTCGTGTACTCTTAATTGGAATCGTCTTCCGACGAAAAGTGCACGAAGTTTGGTATTAATAATACTCGCGTCTAATCATCCGATTAAAATAGTTGCCGGTAAATTGATGGACATGTCATTGAGTAATTTTAACAACGTAAGTAATTAAAATGATATTTTAAATCTACAAAATATAACGTGTTTGACATGAGTAAAAACTGAATTTTGTAGATAATTAAAACTGCCGTTGGATATTTCAACATTCTACGAAGTAGCGTCTAATAAAATAAATCAAATACCATAACTAACAATTACGATTAATACGAATTGATTCGAGTTTTGTAAAATATTAGACGATAGTTTGAAGAAAAAATAATTAAATAAAAAGTAATAGAAACACTAATTGATTTTTAAACGAATGTGAGAGTGAAAAAAAAAAAATAAAAGAAAGAAACCTCGTGCCGTATCACCAACTTTGAAGTAAAAAATTCTATTAGTATAGTCTGAAAAATAGAAAAAAAAAAAAGAAGTATAAAAAAGTTACCCTTTATATCGTATCCTGAATAGTCTGAACAGTCCGACTGTATTCACACACGAAGTACGACTGTAATGTGTTCAACGTATTACAGTCTCCTTTCTTCGATCGTACAGTTTAATAACTTCCACTGCGCAAGAATAAAAATATCATTTTGTTTCTTTTTTCCTTTTTTCTCTACCGACTATACCTGACTATAGGAAAGCCACATTTGTTACCCTTTCTAATAAAGTAACAATTTACTTTTAATCGCACGCAAAAAAGTTTCGCTCGAGTAATTTTGTCCGTCGTTGTATTCCTCGTTGTTGTTCGTTGACTGCAAACAAAAAAATAAAATAAAAAGTGTTGTGACAAATGTAAGTAGAAATTGTGAAGAAAATTTTCGATAATACAAAAAAATATTACTCATCTTATGTCAGTTTGGTAAGGGGTTGAAAAATTATCCCAAAAATTATATTCGCTGTACGAGGCTCTCGTTTTTCTGAAAAACAAAAAAATCAAAAAACATTAATTGATAAGAAACGATTAAGTTTAAAAAAAATGTACTAAAAAAGTATCTTCTCTATTCGCGTCATTTTTTCGTCAAATAACAATTTTGCTTAGAAAAATACTGAACTGTTGGTTTTGATCCTCTGCGAACGAATAAAAAAATAAAAAGATAATGAAGAAAAAAATAGCGAGCGAATAACAACAGAGAGAGAGAGAGAGAGTTTAGCAAAGTTTGTTATCAGAAAGAAAAAAGAAAAATGGGAATAAGGGGGAGGAATAAATTAGCGCAAGCGCAGAAATATATTCGTTCGACGATACTTCATTCAGCATTTGAATAGTTCAAATGATTCAGTGTGACGTTTAAAAATATCGAATTAACTAAAAACGATAGCGCGTAATTGTTATATTTTCGATATTACATGGAAAATAAAACGTTGAACAATTTTAAAAGGAACGTTGATCTGAGTATTTCGTTAAATCGATGGATATCAAAACCAATAGGAACGTGGCCATCGATGAAAGTATCTAAAACAACGCGATTCGAATTTATTATTAAAAAATTAACAATCCTAATCTGTTACATATTATTGAGTTTTGTTTTAATACTAGGAAGTATGTTTATCATACTCGAATTGGAAGATTTTTACAGTTCATTAAAAATAGGTAGCGCATTGAGTTTCTTTTTGATGGCAGCCATGAAATATTTCTTTTTGATTATTCGCGAAAATGATATTAAAAGTTGCATCGATTGCATCGAAATGGATTGGAAAGATGTTAAATATTTGGAAGATAAAAAGATAATGATAGATAATGCTAACTTTGGCAGAAAATTGATCATGATTTGTGGCTTTTTTATGTACGGTGGTGTTGTCTTTTATTACATTGCATTACCCATGACACATGGACGTGCATTTGACGAGGATAGAAATCTAACGTATAGACCATTGGTTTATCCCGTACCGAAAATAATAGCCGATGCACAAATAAGTCCGGCAAATGAAATATTTTATTTGATACAATTGTTTTCCGGTTTGGTTGCACACAACATAACCGTTGCCGCTTGCGGTTTAGTAGCCCTTCTTGCTATGCACGCATGCGGCCAATTAGAAATTCTCATTTCCTGGCTCGAATATTTGGTTGACGGAAGGGAAAACGTTTCTGACACGCTTGACGAAAGATTGGCTGATATAATCGAACAGCATGTACGTGCATTTAGGTCAGTTTATTTATTCTTTTGCTTTTTTTACTTAAATATTTTGTTTGCTTGTATGCTTTGTGTTACTTTTTGTTTTCTTTTTCTTCTTCTTCTTCTTTTTCTGTTTTTTCTTTTTTAATGATATTCAAAATTGTAATCGAAAATTTTGCAGCTTGTTATAAACAACAGATCTATGTGTCAATAGATACATTTTTTTTGTTACATTTTAGTTTTATTAAACGTACAGAAGAAGTTATAAGCGAAATATCTCTAGTTGAAATCGTCGGATGCACATTCAACATTTGTTGCCTTGGATATCATTGTATGATGGTACGCATATATATATTTTATAAATAATAAATCGTTCTATTACTTTTCTCCTTTCGTTTTCTATCTGATTATTTTCTTTTTTTTTTTTTGTTGATTTCCGAGCTTGGTCAGTAAGTTTATAAATTTGTTTTTTTTTCTGGGAAAAAATATTGTTTGTCGTTTAATTATTACAGGAATGGGATATTAAGCAACCACTCGGTAGTGTTACTTATTTAATATTACTCACTTCGGTCACTTTCAATATCTTCATTTTTTGTTACATTGGTGAAGTTCTTGCCGAGCAGGTATTACTTTTATTCTTTTACCCATCATTTTTTATTAATTATAAAAAGAAACAAAAATCTTTTTTTTAAAAAGTCATTACGAATAAATAATACGAGATTACATTGTTAATATAATAAATTGGATATGCGCGAATTTTGTTTTTTACGTTTTACGTTGAAACATTTATGCTAAAAAAAAAAAAAAAAAGAAAAAAAAATAATAATCTCGAATTCTAATGTCAAGGATATTGTAACAGACCCTGAAAGTTGGCGAAAAATCTTACATGATTGATTGGTATCGTATACCAGACAGAAAAAATCTTGCAATTGTTCTAATAATTATGATGTCCAATTCGACAACCAGATTAACTGCTGGAAATTTGATCGATTTATCTATAAGCAGTTTTTCTGACGTAAGTATATAACATAACGAACAAATGAATATAAAAATGTCATTAGTATGAAATTAATACGAGACTTTGGGAGATTATTTTCTGATGCACAATTGTATCGTTAAAATGCAGGTGATCAAATCAGCTGGTGCCTACTTGAATATGCTTCGTACGTTTACAATTTAGAATAAATTACCGATCACAGTAGAAATTAGTATTTGAATATAACTAGATTGTTTAAATTCAAAAGAAAATGCAAAAAAAAAAAGAAAAAAAAAATAATTATAAGAAAACCATATTAACAGACTTTTAATTAATACCATTTTAATCAGCATCATTCATTTCCACGTAAATATTCCACAATTGCATGTAAATAAAATAAATTCTCTCCTAAAAAAAAAAAAACCCCCATACACGTTACCCATACACTTTACACATAAATCATTTTCATGCAATAAAAATTCTCACATGCACACGCAACTGCATTATGAATAATGAAAATAAATCGTGAGGTGGTTATCGTTTTGAAAGGATGATTGGTAATCGATAAATCGTGACACAACTAAACATAGTCAAATGTATATAAATGTGAACGCAACAGGGGAAAAAATATCATGCGTTATCGTAAAGAATATAAGAAGGGGTCAATCCCCATCGCGGAAATGTTATTGTCATCGAATAACATTCTCGTAAACTATCAGAAAGTTGATTGTAGTCGCGATTACTATAACCCTTCTTCTTCATCTTCTTCTTCTTAAAGAGGGGAAGAAAAAAATATAAGGAAAAAGATTGGCAATAAGTTTGACGCAGGCGCAGAACAATTGCATATACGATTGATACAAGGAAGATGTTAGTAAGAATAGTAACTGTCGAATGATAGTCGTGTTNGCAATAAGTTTGACGCAGGCGCAGAACAATTGCATATACGATTGATACAAGGAAGATGTTAGTAAGAATAGTAACTGTCGAATGATAGTCGTGTTAACAATGATTAACAAATACGATAAWAAARAAACTTACGTGAACGATTACGAGGATTACAAAAAATACGTGRATTTGACCACRAAAGYAAATCGWTGGATTTTGGAWCCAWTGGGTATCTGGCCAYTSAACAAARATTCCATTGAAGTTACTTGGAAAGACAAGTGTTTTCGTCGATTGAAAAGTTGCATTTTTTATTTCCTCATGATATTCGTATTCGCATGTTGCRGTCCTTACRTRRTTTTCGARGTMGAWRGTACCTATGACARATTGAGACTTACTGGACCACTGAGTTTCTGTATTATGGCTATTCTTAAATATKTMTTTTTRACATTACACGAARAARAAMTTCGATCGTGTATCGGGTATATTGAAATGGATTGGAAAAGTGTTAAAAATTTGAAAGACGAACAAATAATGATCGACAAAGTTTACTCGGGTCGTCGTTTAGTTAACATTTGCAATRTATTCACTTTCGGTGCTGCTGGATTTTATTATATCGTATTACCAGTTATGAGTAAAAAAATTGTTCTACCTGACGTTAATGTTACTTACAGACCAACCCCATATCCCGTTACTAAATATCTCATAGATATTCGTTATAGTCCAGCCAACGAAATAGTTAGTCTCATTCTATGTTTTTCCGGATTTGCTGCACATTCGATAGCAGCTGGTACATGCAGTTTAGTAGCCATTTTTACTATGCACGTTTGCGGTCAACTTARGGTTCTCATCAATTGGTTGGAACATTTGTTGGATGGTAGAGAAGATTTGTGTTCCAACGTAGATGGTAGAATGGCGAGTATCATTCAACAACACGTTCAAATATTAAAGTGAGTCGCCTTTTTTTGCTTTTTTTTGTTTTTTTTTATTACAAAAGCATAAAATTATTTTATCTGAAAAAAAATATTCATCTTTATACAGTTTTATATCGGTAACTGAGAATTTGTTGAACGAAATATCTTTGATCGAAGTTGTTGGRTGTACATTGAACATGTGCTTACTTGGATATTATTGCATTAKGGTGAGTAGAAATTGGTGTAAATAATAAAAATAACAATATAAGTGAAATATTTGATTACAGGAATGGGACATCACTGAAATATTGGGTAGTCTAACTTGTGCTATTGTATTAACGTCAATAGCTTTTAATATTTTTATATTTTGTTATATWGGCGAACTTCTKATGGAACAGGTATGTTCAATTATTTATAACAATTCATTGAATTATTATATTCCATTTTAAAATCTTTRATATTATTAGGTCAACGAGTTAAGCGAACGATGTTATGGTATTGATTGGTATCGTTTGCCAGGAAAAACTGCACGTTCATTGATACTTTTAATYGCGATGTCAAGAACAACGACAAAATTAACAGCCGGAAATTTTATGGATCTTTCTTTGAGTAGTTTTAGCGACGTACGTATAAATATGAAAAATATATTAATCGAATAAACATAAAAAAAAGAAAAAACATATCAAACGTTAATTTATTTGTGCATAACAGATTATCAAATCATCGGTCGCCTATTTGAATATGTTACGGACAATGGCATAAAAAAATGTATCCTACAAACGAAAAACACCTAAATGAAAATAATCCAATAACAATATTAATTTATTGATATTAACGAGAAAGAAAGAAAAAATCGACTCGTTGCAAATCTTTTTTTTTTCTGTTTCGTTTTACCTTAAAACCCAATCTATTAGCATGACAAAAAATAAAAAAGAAACCATTTTACAATTTATCGATAATATATATATATAAAAAACACAGATCAACTTTTGTCGAAAGTATTTTTTTGTCAGGTTATCGCAAGTACTTAAAAAATCGTGACTAGAATTATGTAGGAAACCCTGTAATATTTTTGTAAAAATGATTAGAACAATTTGACAATACGTACCGACAAAAATTTGTTAATCCTAAAACGTAAAGTATACCCTAGAAGGTTATTATTTACACTGACGACAAGTCCTGACGAAGGAAAGAAAGAACTCGACTGAAAAACGCTTGCGCAGTTTGATTAGTTCGTGGGTGGTAACGTCAGGTAAGCTTCGTACAATTGAAACAGGTGAATGGTAAGTTAGTAGCGATCGAGTGGTCGTTCGGATTAAATCGATCATGTCTAATATAACTACGATGAGTGTTATCGTGCAAGATAATCGAGATGAGATGAATTTGAACGTTAAATTGAATCGTTGGATTTTAAAATCGATCGGTGCATGGCCCAAATCATCTAACATATCATACAAACAAATTTATTTGCACAGATTTAGCAATGTCATTTGTTACGGTTTAATTATATTTTTAATGATACCATGCGGATTACATTTGTCATTGGAAGTCAAAGATACTTACGACAAATTACGTTTAACCGGACCATTGAGCTTTTGTTTAATGGCAATAATAAAATATTGTGCTTTGACGTTAAAGGAAAATGATATTCGTCGTTGTTTCGAATATATAGAATTGGATTGGAAAAAAGTTCGACACATTGAGGATATTAAAGTAATGAAAGATAATGCTAATATCGGTCGTCGCATAGTCATCGTTTGTGCAATTTTCATGTACAGCAGTGCTGCATTTTATTATATTGCCGTACCTTTTGCAAGAGGTTTAATTATTGAAGATGATACCAATCTAACATACAGGCCACTCGTTTATCCAGTTGCAAGGATCATCGTTGACACACGTCGTACACCTGTCAATCAAATATTCTTTGGTATTCAATGTGTTTCAGGATTTCTCGCACATTCGATTACAGCAGGTGCTTGCGGACTTGCAGCAACTTTTGCCATGCACGCTTGCGGACAATTGCAAGTTATTACGATATGTTTGAACAATTTAATCGACGGTCGTCAGGATTCTTTTGATACCGTTGAACAAAGGCTCGCTGATATCATACAACGTCATGTTCGTGCATTGAAGTTAGTCAAACTAAAAAGACAAATTATTTAATAAGATTTATATCATTCGTTTCTCATTCCCATCTAAATCATTTTTATTTTAATATTTCAGTTTTATCTCACTAACAGAAGAAGTGTTGAATGAAATATCATTGGTTGAAGTTGTTGGGTGTACCATAAATATTTGCCTTCTTGGATATTACTGCATCACTGTAAATAAATAAATTAATTAATTACTTATACGCGCGTATTTTTCAAATGATTTTTCATTTTTTTTTTTATATTTACAGGGTTGGCAATACAACGAGACTATGGGTCGTGTAACGTACATCATACTATTCATATCAGTTACTTTTAATATTTTTATATTCTGTTACATAGGTGAACTTCTTGCCGAACAGGTAAAATTACAATCTTACGCTATGAATTATATCAAATCAATATAAATTGGATTAGTTTTCTTATTTTTCTGTTTCTTTTTTTTCTTTTCATCCGATTAAAAGTATTACACTTAACGATATTAAAATTAAGATAGTAATCGATCTATATCACAGAATAGTCAAAAGAAATCCTGTAACACAGTGCCAAAAAGTAGGAGAAAGTTCCTACATGATTGACTGGTACCGATTACCATGGAAAAATATTCGTAGCCTTGTCTTGATCATTGCAATGTCCAGTTCATCGAAAAATCTAACCGCAGGATATCTTATTGAATTATCTTTAACTAGTTTTGGTGATGTAAGTATAATATCATATCAATATTATTTTGTCCAATAAATCTATGCTCTAATAAAAATTAAAAAACAAAATCTCACGAATTTATCGAACAACGTGATATATTATATTTGAACGATGGAAAAAGTTTCTTCGTATTTCAACGATAAATGATTTTTTCATTTCGCATAACGATACAACCATTGTTCTTCACTTTTACATTAAAATACGAGGAAAACTTTATCACCGTTCCAACAATTAATACTTTGCACACGTATCAAATATTTTATATATTTTATATATTTTTGTACAGGTAATCAAATCGTCACTCGCATACTTGAACATGTTGAGAACGCTGACCGAATAAAATGAAAGTAAACGATTATTATTTTAAGATCAATTTCATGAAATTTGAGAAAAAGAAGATTTTCTTAATGGTGGAATAATAAAAATGTAAAATAACGTTAGAGTAGAAACAATAGAAAAATTGAAAAATAGAAAAAACTTTATTGTCTAAACGTGTAAGAAGAGAAACGAAATCGCGAATATCGATCAGCGTAACTAAAACTACCCTTGTTTTTATTAATCTGTCCAGGGACAAAAAAAAAAGTATCGTGACGCGCAAGCGTATAGATTAGGTATTGCGAGAAGGGTGGTAGTAGTAGTAGTGGTGGTGGTGGTGGTGGTGGTGTTGGGGTTGAAAACAGAAGGGTAGAAAGATAAAAGATAATTGTCAGTCAGTAGCCAATGTGCTTCCGTAAAAGAACAATCATGAAAGAAGAATTGAAAATAAATTCAATTGAAGTTAACAAAATGAATATTAGTTACATAAACGACAACGAGTATAGTGTTCAATTGATACGCTGGTTATTAACATCAATGGGTGCTTGGCGTTCGTTGAAAAAACAAAATTTCTTACAAAAATTACGTTCGATGATAATAATCGTAATGTCATATTTTTTAATATGCTTTACATTGATACCTTGTACGTTGTACGCAATTATAGAGGAAGACAATTTGCAAATTAAAATGAAAGCATTAGGACAAGTGAGCTATTGGCTAATGAGTACAATAAAATACAGTTATATTTTGTATCATCGTGGAAACGTGCAACGATGTTTGGATCATATTGAAAATGATTGGCGTATCATTACAAGATCTAAAGATCGTAATATTATGTTAACACATGCTAACAAAGCACGTTACTTTATTCTCATTTGTACGAGTTTCACTTACGGTGGTGTTCTCATTTATAGTCTCGTACGAGGAATGACACTTATTCCCGTAATTATTGAAAATCGTACGATTTATTTGCACCCCTTGCCGTGTCCCTGTTACAGTAAATTAGCCGACACCAGATTTCATCCGACATACGAAATTATTTATACATTACAATTGTTATCCGCAATTATAACAAGTTCAATCGTCGTATGCGCTTGCAGTTTAGCTGCCGTTTTCGTAATGCACGCTTGCGGTCAATTAACGATAACTATGGCATGGATTGAAGATACTTTCGTTGATTCTATTCGTTCCAGTAATTATCCATTGACAGATATTGTACGATTACACGTTAGAACATTGAGGTACGCGAAAGTACTACTATGTAATTATTAATAACATTTATATTAGAATTAAATGTGATACAAGTGGAAATCGTTTGTTCGTTACAGTTTTATCGATTATATAGAAAACGTGATTAATCGTATCTGTTTGGTCGAACTTTTGGGTTGCACCATGAATATGTGCTTGTTGGGATATTTTTGTATCACGGTATGCCGAAATTTCGATGTAATATTATTTACACGTGATTCTGTTATGTCAATTTTATTCTATATTGTGTCATTAAAACTTTCATCATAATTATTATCGTTATTATCAATTTTTATATGATTAAAGTAAAGAATATTAAATTACAACTTCGCGTTTCTAACATTAAACACTTTTAAATATATATATATATATATATCCATTTTTTGTCAATGATATTTCACAAAATAAGAAACATAAGCACGGATTTGATATCAATTGTATCATTTAATCGTTTTAAAAAGTTACGTCAATTTTTCAGGAATGGGAGAATAACGATACGAAAAATACCATAGGATATTTTCTTGTATTCGTTTCCATGGTTTTCAATATTTTCGTATTTTGTTTTCTTAGTGAAAAACTTTCGGAACAGGTAGTAGCGTTTGATTACTTTTGCATTTATTTTTACTTCAATTGTTTTCCCTATCCAATTAATTCGTTCTAATTTTTTTTTTGCAAATTTTCTTTCTTTTCTTTTATTTCTTCATATCGAATTATCTTAATTTAGGATAACGTTGATTGAATATATCAAAAATTAGGTTTGTTGATAGTGCCTTCGAGTAGGTGACGTCGCTTATGCGTGCGATTGGCAATTACTTCCTGTTAATACTGCACGCGGATTTATTTTAATTATACTTAGATCCAATTCCGTGGTACGATTAACTGCAGGAAAGTTTATGAAACTATCAATTATCACTTTCGGCGATGTGAGTAATTATTAAATTATAATAAATAATATATGAACGAAGAGAGAGAGAGAGAGAGATATAGAAAATATAAATGTGTTTAGCTGAAAAAATTAATCTAATAATATGAATTATGTTTTTTGAATGTTTTAGGTAATTAAATCGTCTGCTGTTTACTTCAACATGCTACAAAAAATGACGTAAAATTGTTAAACGTAATTTCGAATTTATCTTTACACACACAAAAAAGAAAAGAAAAGAAAATAGAAATTTTATTAGAATAAAATTAGGTAGTTTGACGTAATAACGAACATTTGTATAAATCATAAACGCGACTTGAACATTTTTTTTTACGTTTTTATGTTTTTTTTTTTATATATATATCACAATTAAAAATCAGAGAAAACCTATATATATATAATAAAATTATACTCACATAAAGGGGTGCATTATACTCAAACTTAGTTCTCGACAAATTTCCATTACTTGGATTAGACTCAATTTAAAACTAATATCTAATCAAATTCCACTAATTTTATTTCGTTAAATCTCATCAACAGTCAATTTTTCAATCTATAACAAATACAAAGAGAAAATATTTAATTTTAAACGATACACAAATCGTTTTACTCTATAAAAATATATCGAACAAAAAAAAAATCAAATTTTCAATTTCGTTGAATACAAAAATGATCGCACACTTCACACACATATCATTTGAAATCCAAACTAATCGAATAATAATAACAGATCAAATTTGTCAAGTGAAAGATTATAGTCCGGCGTATGGTAAAAGCGCGTATGGTTGTCCATAAGAAAATAACCGATTACTCAGACCAATGCAACATACATGAAAACTCGCGCAAGCGCTATACTATAGACAATAATAATCGAAGTAAGAGATACAGGTATATGCGTTCTGCTGAGAAAATTTCAGTTTTAGTATTGCGAAAGATTTCCTAACGCGATCATGACAACTATTAACGATAAGATCAACCTAAATCATAATTATATAGCTGACATTAATTACAGTTTGCAAGTAAATCGTTGGCTTTTAAAACCAATTGGTATTTGGCCATATCCTAGGACATCATCAACGACAATTAAAACTTTTTCCTTAATTTTATTCCTAACGTGTATTGGAATATTAATATTTTCAATAATATCGTGCATATTGAATATCTTATTCGAGGAAGAAGATCCACAAGTGAAATTGAAAACGATAGCACCCCTAAGTTATTGGTCGTTATCGTTAATCCGTTATTGTACACTTTTAATTAGATCAAACGATATTCGTAGATGCGTTGATCGCATAGAAATAGATTGGCAAATGATCACAAAAATCGAGGAACGTGAAACAATGCTGAATTGCGTGAAAACTGGCCGTTTTATCGTATGCTTCAGTGCAATTTTTATGCACGGTGGCATATTTGCATTTAACATTTTCAAAGGTATTACACCTGTAATCGAATTAGTCGGTAACGACAGTGTTTCCATTTACCGATTACCTTATCCATTTTATAATCAAATTTGGGATATCAGTTATACCATGGCATATCGAGTTATACTTTTGTTACAATTCGTTGTAACGTTCATTGTTAATTCCGTAAGTGTTGGAGCTGTTGCAATTGCAGCTATGTTTGTCATGCACGCTTGTGGCCAATTAAATATTATGAGATTATGGTTGGAATCATTGGTCGATGATATCGATTACGCGTATGATTCGATTCAACAGAAAATTGGTGTCATCGTTGTTCATCATTTACGTGTTCTCAAGTATATTGCATTTAACATATTTTATTTCGAATAAAAATATTTTTCTTTTTGTTTCTGTGCAAAAATATAACATTGGAAAATATACTTATTATTATAATTTTTAATTTTTAATTACAGTTTTGTCACTTGGATAGAAAAAACATTAAATTTTATATGTCTCGTTGAAATATTTGGTTCGGTGTTCAATATGTGTTTCTTAGGATATTATTGCATAAAAGTGGGTACATACTTTTTGGTTGTTTTCTTTTTCGAACAAATAATACTTGCATGAAACGATGTTAATTTTTACTGTAACAATTGTTTTACTCTTTCTTTCGTTGGAATAGTTTGTTTTAATTGTTTAACAGCAATTTAATGAAAACGAATTTGGAACTACTGCTATATATGGTACAATATTCGTATCCGTAGCGTATAATATTTTCATATTTTGTTACATCGGTGATATTCTCTCGGAACAGGTAAAAATATATTTTTATTATGTTATCCCCTAAACATTATTATATCTAGTAATATTTTTAATATCCAAATTTTTGTTGAACATTATATTCTAATATGATTAATCAAATTAGAAGTATAATACTTATTTTTAAAAGCATAAAAATTATCCTACACACATCTGACATAATTTTGTATACTAAATATTTAATTTAATTTATATTAAATCGAATTTAACAGTGCAGATTGATTGGTATAGAAGCATATTTAATCAATTGGTACAGTCTACCTGGAAAATCACCTCTAAGTATAGCACTGATCATATTAAGATCATCTCGCGTAACCAATCTCACTGCTGGAAAAATTATTCCCTTGTGTATGGCAACATTCAGTAACGTGAGTAAATTATATAATAACATTTCTATAATTAAATCAAGTTTATGCTAAGAATATTTAAAAAAAATGTGAATTTTCGAACAGAATAAAGAAGAGAAAAAACATTATACTAAAAAATAATCAATGTCAACAAATTATAATTAAAACGATTATTGTTTTAGGTCGTCCAAACATCATTTGCATATTTAAACATATTGCGCAAAGTCGTTATCTAAACTAATTAAAATAAATTTAACAATTACAAATTAGAAGAAACTCACATGTATAATTAATAACGAATAAAAACATAAAGATGTAAAAAAAAATGCATAAAATTATAAAATTGCGTGAATAATAATGCGTAAATAAAAATATGTGTACTTTAATTAAAACAATATTATACAAGTATCAATCACCTATAAATGAGAACAAAAATTGAAACGAAAATTTCCAACAGGTATAACAAAATTTATCCCATCACGAATGAGCCCTTTTCCTTTTCGGTATATTTGTAATAGAATGAAAAGACTATGATTGATGCATGTTACTGACGAATTAATAAACGATTGAATAATATTATCGTTCTTTGAATTTTTTTTTATCAATATGTTTACTTTTATAAAAACAATTATATCAGCACAATATAAACACACCCTTCGAAGGGAAAGAGTAAACTAACGAACAGAAGGATACGACATTTCAATAAAACTACACAATAACTTCCCCAATCCTTTCATTGTATGGTTGCACATGCGCGAGAAGTAGAATCCTAAGGAATCAATCAATCTAACTAAGCATAAAAAGTTTCTGTCAGTGAGTACGTTGTTACCGTACGATTCGCATCATGTTGAAAGAAACCACGACGTTAACTGAAACCAAATTCATCGAAAAAGATTGGAATTACAGTATTCAATTAAATCGTTTGTTTTTAAAATCAATCGGTGCTTGGCCACTTTCGTTGAACGTTAATTATCTAGAAARAATAATATCAATTAGTTTGACAACGATCAGTAGTTGTTTGATAGGATTTTTATTGATACCATGTGCACTGGTTACGTTTCTTGGTCGTGAAARTAGTCTCGATGCAAAAATCAAGATGATAGGTCCACTTAGTTTCTTCGTTATGGCAGCTATCAAATATTACATTTTAACGTCACGAGGAATAACTATAGCCAATTGTATAAAWCATATTCGTTCCGATTGGGAACGTGCTGAAAAATTTCAAGACGATCGTAAAATTGTTATTAAGAATGCAGAATTTGGTAGATCGTTGGTCATCTCTTGTGCAGTATTCATGTACGGTGGTGGATTCTTTTATTGCACCGTGATGCCACTTTGTACTATGAGAACTGAAATAATTGATAATGAAACAATAAGAGTACCATCATTCCCAATTTATCGGAAACTAATCGATCCAAGAACTAGTCCTCATTTTGAGATCGTCCAATTT